CTATCGCACTCACCTGACAAAATTCAAATCTTGGATCAGTGATGCTGTTTGCTTTTTTAGTGTTTATATCCTGGTTACTGAATGATGCTAGAGAAAATCCCAAACCTGTAAATTTAACTCCCCAGCAGCTCCTCAGAATACTCTTTTCTTTACTTCTGCCCAGCAGCTCTTTCAGAACTTCCCCAATCTGCTAGAACTTCTGATATTGCCACATTTGCCTTTCTCTCTCAGCATTTCCTGTTTCACTTAAAGGACATCATATTGCTTTTAATCCTCACTACTGAATCTATAGGATAAGTGCATTCTCATCCATTTATTCTTACTCTCTGGTATTTGGGAAGAGTTATCTCTCCCTCGTATAATTTTTCTTCTGTTTAGGTTCTGAATCCCAACTACTGCTATTTTCTCTAGGACATTATTAATTCAATTAGCTCTTCTCCTATGTCTTTTTCTCTTATCTCCTAATATCCTGTCAACCTTTAAATATGATTAGGTTTTACTAAACATTTTCAGTCATTATCTCTCTCCAGGCACAACCTTAGCCTGCTCTTCCTTTAAAAAGAGAATTATCCACATTTACCAATTCACCTCTTTTAGTGGGGGAGGGGCAGAGAGAGGGAAAAAGAGAATCTCAAGCAGACTCCCTGCTGAGTGCGAAGCCTGACATGGGACGACTCGATTTCATGACCCTGAGATCATGACCTGAGCCAAAACCAAGAGTCCGATGCTTAACTGACTTAGCCACCTAGGCATCCCCCAATTTCACTTTTTTACCTTCATTTCACTCTTTAATCCACTGCATTCCTTTGGCATTCTACTAACTGCTTTTGCTGGTTCATCAGTGCCTTTTTTTGTTGCTAAAACTTCTCATTCTCACTTAAATTTTAAAATATTTGATTGGGTTAACTACTTCATCCCTGTTGAATTTTTTTTTTTTTTTTTTACTTTGACAACCTTTATGACTTGATTCTTTTTTTTTTTTTTTTTAAGATTTTATTTATTTGGGGCACGTGGGTGGCTCAGTTGTTAAACATCTGCCTTTGGCTCAGGTCATGATCCCAGGGTTCTGGGATCAAGCCCTGCTTCCGGCTCCCTGCTCAGCGGGAAGCCTGCTTCTCCCTCTCCCACTCCCCCGCTTGTGTTCCCTCTCTCTCTGTGTGTCTCTCTCTCTGTCAAATAAATAAATAAAATCTTTTTCAAATAAAATCTTAAAAAAATATTTCCTTTATTTGAGATAGGGAGAGAGAGAGAGAAAGAGAGGGCATGAGCGGGCAGGGGGAGAGGCAGAGGGAGAGGGAGAAGCAGGCTCCATTGAGCAGGGAGTCTGATGCGGGGCTAGATCCCAGGACCCTGGGATCGTGACCTGAGCTGAAGGCACATGTTTAACTGTCCAAGCCACGCAGGCGCCCCTATGACTTGATTCTTTTTTTTTTCTCCCAGCTCTTCTAATTAATTAGATTCCTTTATAAATTTCTCTTGCTCTGCTTATTTCTTAAATGTCTCTTCTTTTTTCATTCTGCAGCTCCTCCCTGGTCATTTCATTTACTCCCATGACTTCAGTGATCTTTTTGTGATAATCCCCAAACTTTTTTACTTAGCTCATATTCTCTGCAGAGATTTAAACTACCCAGTATTTAATTGCTCATGAAACATTTCTATTTGCCATTTTTTTAAGATTTATTTTAGAGAGAGAGAGAGAGAGTGAGCGAGCGTGAGAAGGGGTAGAGGGGGTGGGAGAGAGAGAGAATCTTCAGCAGACACTGAGTGAAGAGCCTGACTCCGGGCTCTATCCCTCCGAGGACCCTGAGATCATGATCTGAGCTGAAAGAGTCAGATACTCAACCAGCTGAGCTACCCAGGTGCCCCAATTGCGTGCCATGTTTTAAGATACTTGAAATTTAGTGTGCCCAAAGAAAACTGATTTCTTTTTTTTTTTAATTTTTTTATTCTTATATTATCCCCATACATTACATCATTAGTTTTAGATGTAGTGTTCCATGACTCATTGTTTGTGCATAACACCCAGTGCTCCATGCAGAATGTGCCCTCCTCAATACCCATCACCAGGCTAACCCATCCTCCCACCCCCCTCCCCTCTAGAACCCTCAGTTTGTTTTTCAGAGTCCATCGTCTCTCATGGTTCGTCTACCCCTCCGATTTCCCCCCCTTCATTCTTCCCCTCCCGCTACCTTCTTCTTCTTCTTCTTCTTCTTCTTCTTTTTTTTTTTAACATATATTGCATTATTTGTTTCAGAGGTACAGATCTGAGATTCAACAGTCTTGCACAATTCACAGCGCTTACCAGAGCACATACCCTCCCCAGTGTCTATCACCCAGTCACCCCATCCTTCCCACCCCACCCCCCACTCCAGCAACCCTCAGTTTGTTTCCTGCGATTAAGAATTCCTCATATCAGTGAGGTCATATGATACATGTCTTTCTCTGTTTGACTTATTTCGCTCAACATAATACCCTCCAGTTCCATCCACGTCGTTGCAAATGGCAAGATCTCATTCCTTTTGATAGCTGCATAATATTCCATTGTATATATATACCACTTCTTTATCCATTCATCTGTCCATGGACATCTTGGCTCTTTCCACAGTTTGGCTATTGTGGGCATTGCTGCTATAAACATCGGGGTGCACGTACCCTTTCGGATCCCTACTTTTGTATCTTTGGGGTAAATACCCAGTAGTGCAATTGCTGGGTTGTATGGTAGCTCTATTTTCAACTTTTTGAGGAACCTCCATACCGTTTTCCAGCGTGGCTGCACCAGCTTGCATTCCCACCAACAGTGTAGGAGGGTTCCCCTTTCTCCGCATCCCCGCCAACATCTGTCATTTCCTGACTTGTTAATTTTAGCCATTCTGACTGGTGTGAGGTGGTATCTCATTGAGGTTTTGATTTGGATTTCCCTGATGCCGAGCGATGTGGAGCACTTTTTCATGTGTCTGTTGGCCATTTGGATGTCTTCTTTGGAAAAATGTCTGTTCATGTCTTCTGCCCATTTCTTGAGAACTGATTTCTTTCTTTCTTTTTTTTTTTTTTTTTTAAAGATTTTTTATTTATTTATCTGAGAGAGAGAATGGGAGACAGAGAGCATGAAAGGGGGAGGATCAGAGGGAGAAGCAGACTCCCCGCCGAGCAGGGAGTCCGATGCGGGACTCGATCCCGGGACTCCAGGATCATGACCTGAGCCGAAGGCAGTCGCTTAACCAACTGAGCCACCCAGGCACCCCTTGAGAACTGATTTCTTACCTATCCCTTCTGCTCACATTAATCAACAACTTAGTCCTCTTAATTCTTCCTCCTAAATGTTTTCAAGACAATCAGCTTTTTATCTTTAAGTCTCTTCCCTAGTATAGGCTAGCTATCCTTTGACTCTGGTAGATTATTTCAGCTTTCTAGTTAGTCTGCATGTTTCTAGTTTAGGCTCTTCTCCATATTGCAGCCAGAGTGGTCTTTTGATTATAAAGTCTAGCAATATTACTCTCCTTAAAACTTCTAAAATTCCTGGGCGCCTGGGTGGCTCAGTTTTTAAGCATCTGCCTTTGGCTCAGGTCATGATCCCAGGGTCCTGGGGTCAAGCCCCACATTGGGCTCCCTGCTCAGCGGGAAGCCTGCTTCTCCCTCTCCCACTCCCCCTGCTTGTGTTCCCTCTCTTGCTGTGTCTCTCTCTGTCAAATAAATAAATAAAATCTTAAAAAAAAAAAACCTTCTAAAAATTCCTAAAATCTTAAAAAAAAAAAATCTTCATCGCCTCCAGGGTATTACTTAAGACTCTTAGTGGTAGATGACAGAAACTAAACTCACACTAGGTTTGGCAAAGCGTGGAATCATTGGAAGGTTACTTAAGTATAGAAGGAACTGGAGTGTAGCTAGGCCTCAGAGACACATAGAACCTGGATTTAAAATACAACTGATACTTTCTTCACTTCCTTTTTTCTCTTTCTGTCAACTGGCTTCATTCTCTTCTCACTACGTAGTGATTTGTGGATGGAAGAACTAGCACTAAAGTTTGTGCTTTATATAGTTACCAGTTAATAAACACAATGTGATAATTGGAATTTGAACTGTGTTGTTGGGGGACTGGTGTTTCACAAAATCGTGGTAATGGAAATTTGTGCATATCAGGACTGTGCAATATGAGGACTGCCTGTATTGAGACATGATAACATGACTTATTTTATGACACCATATTATCTGGCTTCTGCCTGTTTTTTTTTAAGATTCATCTTAAAGCCACTTCTTCCTTGGAGCTATGCTCAGATCTTAGTTCATGTAGTTTTCCCAAGTTTGAATTCCCTTGCCTCTTCCTTAGTCCCTCATTAGTCTACCCCATTCTCTTCTGTTGGGTTTCTCCTACTTACTCTTTAAAGTTTTTCTACAGAGCTGCTTTCTTTGAAAAAAGCTTTTCTGTCCTTTTAAATTTGGATCGTATGTTCTGCCTGAGGTGTTCCAATATCATGTATGCTTTCTCTGTCATAATATAGACACATGATCACACTGTATTGTACTCATTTACTTACCTAGCAGACCATGTTTTCCATGCATATAGAGAACATGGCAATGCTGTTCCTGACTGTATCCCCAGAGCCTAGTATTGGGTGGCACAAAATAATAGGTACTCAGTAAAGTTTTTTTTTTTTTTGATTTAATGAAAGATAATCAGAATTTTGATGGGGTATGAATACTATAATATCATTGGAAGGTATTTTGGAAGAATATAGTATAGCTAGTCAAACATAACAACCTAGGTACCAAATTGTAAAATATTGAGAATTTATACCTCCTTATACTTTAAATGAAGTATACATTTGATAGCATGCTTTCTGTGATCCTTATAGTTAAATAAATACATCACAGACATCATGATTGGAGATCTGTCTTCAGTCTGATATGGTAGGTGCTTAATAAATACTTGTCAAATCAATGAAGGGACAACTTTAATTTTATACTTTTTTTGGTTGTAATAATTATTTTCATTTATTTCTAAGGTATCTTCATGTTTTAATGATCTTCTGGTCATTTGTTGCTGGAGTTGTTACATTCTATTGCTCATTGGGACCGGATTCTCTCTTACCAAATATATTCTTCACAATAAAATACAAACCCAAGGTAAAATTTATGTGTTCTTATTTTTTTTTTTTTTAAAGATTTTATTTATTTATTTGAGAGGGAGAGACTGAGAGAGAGAGCACATGAGAGGGGGGAGGGTCGGGAGGGTCAGAGGGAGAAGCAGACTCCCTGCTGAGCAGGGAGCCCGATGCGGGACTCGATCCAGGGACTCCAGGATCATGACCTGAGCCGAAGGCAGTCGCTTAACCAACTGAGCACCCAGGCGCCCTATGTGTTCTTATTTTGAAAAGAGTCAGTATATATTACCTATGCTGTTTGATATTACTGAAAGCATATTAATGCAGTGATTTAAAAAAACCCATCTGCTGTCATTTAATAATGGAAGACATCAGAACATGATTTGAAGTGAAATTTACATATGTGTATATTTTTAAGGTATACAGCTCTACAAGGAGCTATAAAAAGAAAATACTTCTCAAAAAGTTGGGATCCATAATTTTAGAGTGTTCTCTAACTGCATATTAACTATGAGGACAATAAATTAAAACAGACGTTCCCAAAGTTGGGTATTTTTTCTCTCTTATTTGGCAGTTTAGCCAGTAGTAGTTACTACAAAGCATGGTTTCAGTGTTACTGCAGACAAATAATAATTTAAAAAATATTCTCTGAATTTATACATTGATTAATAAACTTTTGAAAAGTTGATTCTCTTCGGTAAAGATTATGTGTAAACTAAGACAAATCTCTCCCCTTCCCCATTTCCCTTTTTTAGCAGTTAGGACTTCAAGAATTATTTCCTCAAGGTCGTAGTTGTGCTGTTTGCGGTAAAGTGAAATGTAAACGGCATAGGTAAGTTAAACATTTTTTATTTGTTGATCCTTCCAATTACATTTTGGATTTCAGGCAGTTTAATTGTATGATTTTCTATTTAGGCCTTCCTTACTACTTGAAAACTACCAGCCGTGGCTAGATCTGAAAATTTCTTCCAAGGTTGATGCATCTCTCTCAGAGGTAATTGATTTAATTAACATTGCCAAATATACTCAAGCAGAAATATTAAATACCAATGGAAATTTAATTGTGGAACATCTTAATATATGCCATCTAATTAGTTCTTAACTAAGTAGTTGATTATTATGAAATATGTGACTCAGATGGTAAGATAGAAATGTTTTTGGATCCCATGTCTAATTTAAGTGAACATTTTTGCCGAAGACAGCACTGTTTTACCTAGATATTGCTTAATTCTTATAACAATAGTCATCTTTATGGTAGGGTAATACCATTTTGTAGTTCCAAAAGGAGCCCTGAGCTAGAAGGAGCAAGTATGTCCTGCTGAATTATCCCAGTTTTGACACTTGCTGGAGGGTAGAGCAGAGAGTGGGATACTTTTCACTGTTTCCCTGTAATGTAGGAATAGAAAGCATGCTCCCTTATCTTTGTTACAGTCACATTTTATATGTACTCTTTTGGTAGCATATATATTTTAGTTATTTCTTTTAGACACTTGTTTTCCCCATTGATCTAAGAAAGGAGTCAAGTCCTTGAAGGCAGTAAATGGGGTCTAATTTGTTCCCAGCACCAAGTATGGTGCCAGATATGTTGTTGGTAGTTGGTAGACATATACTGAATTAAATTGAATGCTAATTAATTGAAGAATAGCATTAGGCATCTGAATCCTGCCTCGTTATCTTTTTTTCCCAATTTGTATCCTTTGGTAAAAGTATGCTGCATAAATACCAGACTTTTGGCACTTTTTTTTTTTCATTTCTTCTTTTTTCTTCCTCATTTTCATCTTCAAGATTCCTTGATTTAAGACTATGCTATCCAGTATGGTAGCCACTGTCCGCATGTGGCTGTTCATAAATATTTGGAAATGTGTCAGTCCAAATTGAGATGTGATTTTGAGGATTTAGTAAGATAAAAGGAATGTAAAATATCCTATTATGTATTTTATTGATTACATGTTGAAATGATAATATTTTGGATATATTGGGTTAAATAAAATATATCATAAAATTAATTTCACCTGTTTCCTTTTTACTTTTTAAAAATGTAGCTACTAGAAAATGTAAGATTAGGTATGTAGCTCACATTACATTTCTATTAGAGTGCTGATTTGAGGTCTGCTGAAGAGAAGACCTCTAGTAAGAGTACTATTTGTGGGTCTTTGACACTTCATCCATTTCTTAAAAAAAAAAAAAAAAAAAAAAAAAGAACTTATGTGAAGCTCTTGGCCTACTGCCTGGCTCATATTGGTTTTCAGTAAATATTAGCTCCAACATTTAAAGAATTTTTTGAGATCTCACTATAGTCAGGAACTGGACTAGGCCCCAGGAATAAAAGGAGGAATAAGATATGGTTCCTTTCTTCTAGGAACTTGAGTCTAGGAGAGGAGGTAGACATATAAATAGGTAAATACAATATGGTGTGAATACAGGCAATAATGGAAGAAATGTACAGTGTATATTATTAGTACAGAGGAAGAAATGCATAACTGTTGAGAGGGGCAATCAGAAAGTATGACTACAAGTTTGCCAGACTGATAGTGTGAGAAAGGGTATTTCAGGGTTTGGGAAGAGCTTTTGAAAGGAAAGGGAGGCTTTGAATAAGGTGTTCAGTAAGCTGGAAGCAAAATGTGAGGAAGGATGTGGACATTGAAGAGACTGTATTCTAGTAGCTAATATTTATTGGTTACTTGCTGTATTAGGCACTGTACTAATTACTGTACGTTATTTTCTGGAATCATACAACCTATAAAGTAGGTGCTATTATTGATTTTACCAAAACTGGGCTTTAGAGGATTTTAATTTTCTTAAGTTCATCACTGGCTGGTAGCAGAACTTACTTTAAAAATTGGGTCTGACTTAGTTCTTAACCAGTTTTTATATGGCTCTTTAGAAATCTGATCATAAAAAGACTTAAAGGGCCTTGCTGAAGGAGTTTAATTGATCATAGAAGCCACTGATTTTTGAAGTGTGTAGCTGGAGTTTTCAGATGTGACTCATAGGATACAATGGGAAGTGAAAAGGAAGTAAATGGTCAGAGCTGCTAACAGGCAGCTTTCTTCCACCCCTTCAAAACCAGTGTAGCTCCACTTTTCTTACTCTGTATATTGTGGTTTGATAAATTGAGGATTTTATGCAGGGGAATGATGTGTTCGAATATATGTTTTAGATTAATTTGGCAGCTCTGTGGAGGATGGACGGGAGCTAGTTTGGAAGGAGGGATTCTAGTTTAGAGGCTCTTGCTACAATATAGGGGTGAGAAGATAAGGACTGAACAGTGGAGCTATAGAAAAGAGCTACTTAGGATGTAAAATCAGTAATATTTGGTGATTGGATGTGGGGATTAAAGTAAGACCAAATACTATTTAATGATAAATTTTCTAGTCTCCTTTCTGTGTCATATCCCTGTTTCTCTGTATCTTACCTTCCCAACTTGTATCACTAGTGCTTAGTTTTTCTAATAAAAAACCAAATCTTGCCTTAATATTTAGAGAATCTACAACCTTCCTTGCTGCTGCCAGAGAAGGAATATAGGCATATAGTCAGATTAGATACCTTTGTTCATTCTCTCCCTACTGCTTTTGAAAGTTACTGCCCACTGTTGCAAGTCTTTTTAAAAATTAACATAATGCTGCACTCAGAGTTAAGAAATGGAAAGTTTGGGCGCCTGGGTGGCTCAGTTGGTTAAGCGACTTCCTTCGGCTCAGGTCATGATCCCGGAGTCCTGGGATCGAGTCCTGCATCAGGCTCCCGGCTTGGCGGGGAGCCTGCTTCTCCCTCTGACCCTATCCCCTCTCATGCTGTTTCTCTCTCTCTCTCTCTCTCTCAAATAAATAAATAAATAAAATCTTAAAAAAAAAAAAAAAAAGAAATGGAAAGTTTAACACCCAGCGTTTCTTTTGTTTTGTTACTTTTTCACTTACAATTTATATACTGATTTTTAATTTACAGCTAAAATTTTCACGAAGTGAACATATCTGTATAACCAGCACCCAGATCAAGAAACAAAGCATTATTAGCAACCCAGAAGTCCCCCCTCATACTCCCTTTTAGTCTCTATTGTCCCTTCAAAAGCAATCACTGATAGCTAATTTTGACCCCTTATGTAAGTCTGACCTACTTGTTTCTTCATTTTATTCTGGGAATACTGATTTGTAGAGAGAGTTAGGAATTCAAAAGACTAATCTATTATTTTCCTTCTTTCCATAGAACTTTTAGTTCAGTGCAACTTCAGAGTCAGGAACAATTTAAGTTGGTTTGTTTTTTTAATTGTGGGAATGTTTATAAATGTGTGTATGTCATTCTAACAGTATTGTTTCTTTTTATGGAGTTTTATGGTTTTCAAAGTGTTTTCTCATGTTCCTTTTGATCATCACAAAAAACATGTAAGGTTGACAATGTATGTCATGTGAAAGTATGATATTAGATGTCAATATTTGGGATAATAAAATTGGTTCTTGGTAATATATATTACTTGGTAGTATGGCTTATTTTCCTAGAATTAGTTAATTAATCTGATTTTTCTTTAAAAACTAATTTTTATGCAGGTTCTTGAATTAGTGTTGGAAAACTTTGTTTATCCATGGTACAGGTATGTTCTCTCTATAAGACCTTTTTTCTTTAGTGAATATAATTAAGTGTGCTAATGAAATTGTGTTACCAACAGTGGCCAGGATTTCTCAGCTTTGACACTATTGACGTTTTAGGCCAAGTAATTCTTTGTTGTGGGGGGCTGTCCTGTGCATTATAGGATATTTAGTAGAACCCCTGGCCTTTTCACATGAGATACTAGTAGCACCCCCTCATCCTTTTATTTGTGACCACCAAAAGTATCTTCAGAGATTGCCATATGTAACCTGAGAGGCATAATTGGCCCTAGTAAGAACCATAGATCTAGGCAATCATTTAACAGTTTAGTGATAGCAAAGAAGAAAAAACCTTGACTGCTTTTTGAAAGAAAATTAACTTAGAGAATTCCTCATCACTCCTAAATGGAGTGATTTAATTTTTTATTTTATTTTTTAATTGAATTTAATTTTTTAAAGTGATTTGGGAAGCATTCCATGGTCCTTTGTTGTTTCTTTTAAAGATTCCATTCATTTATTTGAGAGAGAGAGCAGAGAGCACAAGTGGGGAGTGGGAAGAGAGGGGCAGAGGAAGAGGGAGAAGAGACTCCTCACTGAGTAGGGAAGCCCGATGTGGGGCTTGATCCCAGGACCTCGAGATCATGACCTGAGCCAAAGGCAGATGCCCAACCGACTGAGCCACCCAGGCACCCCAATTTGATATTTTATATGCACTTTTTACATTTGAAATAATTGTACATTTAGAGGAAAGTTTATATTCAGATGTTTCACTAAATTGAAAGATAATTTTAATAGAATTTTCCTAGAATATTAATGTTTTTTCCAAAGTAACTTTATTTTTAGTATCTGCTATGGATATACAAGTGTCCTTTGCTTTGCAGGATATAGAAAATAGTTTAGATCTGTAAAATTAATCTAGTTTGAGAATCAGAAATTAAGATATATATTTAATAAATAAATGTTTTCTTACAAAACCATCATGTATTTAGTTACATATTTGAACACTTACACCTATATGACTTATAGATGTAATATTTAATGGCATATATCCTAATTTTATATATTTTGAATTTTCTCATTAAAAAATGCTAGTAGATGGGGCGCCTGGGTGGCACAGTCGTTAAGCATCTGCCTTCGGCTCAGGTCTTGATCCCAGGGTCCTGGGATTGAGCCCCGCATTGAGCCCCACATCGGGCTCCCTGCTCGGTGGGAAGCCTGCTTCTCCCTCTCCCACTCCCCCTGCTTGTGTTCCCTCTCTCGCTGTGTCTCTCTCTGTCAAATAAATAAATCTTTAAAAAGAAAAAAAAAATGCTAGTAGATGAGATGCTCTATATTATTAAACTTAATATCCAGTTTATATGCCATATTTTCCTGAAAAGCTATGAAAATTAATATTTTTATGTTGGATTCTGTCTTAAATATGGGGCATTTGCCATTTAAGTAAAGCTGATAGTAAGTCTTTTTCTAAAATGAATCCTCTTGTGAAGACTCCCCCCACCCCCACCCATGTTCTGACTCTTCATAAGAGCTGGCTGTATTTCTAAATGATAAAGTATGTATTTTCTCCTCAGTGTAGTTATTGATGCTGAAATAGTCACTTCCTTGGGATTAATAGTGGGAGGCTTGGTTGATACAATTATCTTCTTTATTCTGCCAAGGGATTTAATAGTACCATCTTCAAATTCAGGATATCATCATTATATATACCTTTCTTGCTTGCTTTGATTGGGGAAGTGTCCTAATTCTTCTAGGACCTCAAGACTTCAGGAAAATAAAAAGTAACTCCTCAGAAGAAGGTTGTCAAAATTTCTGTTTAAAAATGTTTGAGTTTCAGCTTATTTTCTTTCTCAAATAGAACACATATTTTTTTTACCTTTTAGAATTAGTTTATATTATTAACTATAAATATATTAAACTAATTTAAGATGTATTAATTTGTTACTCCTCTGAAATTATTCTTTATTTCTTAGAAATTTCTTTGATAATGCTTAGAAAATGATTGGAGTATTGTAAAAATACGACTTTGTACATGTGGTTGTCTACAGGGAAATATATACTACAATTTAGTTAATAATGATTATGTCTTGGTACTAGAATTATGGGAGATGTTTATTTTTTCTTTGTACATTTTTATTTTTAATTCTGTAATGTAATGCATTATTTGTTAAAAAAGCAAAGAAAAATAGGATAAATAAATGAAAAAGAAGAGGAAGTTCTAAACTTTCCTTGGTTTCTAGAAGGAGTAGCTGTGTATTTCTCTGAGCTTTTAAATGCTTGCTTTTCTCCTTAATTGAAGGGATGTAACAGATGATGAGTCCTTTGTTGATGAACTGAGAATTACATTACGGTTTTTTGCATCTGTCTTAATTCGAAGGATTCACAAGGTATATATTTATAATGAGAAATTTGGGAATTTGGGGTTTCATTAATACTAAAGAGATTTTTAAAAATCTTAGTTTTACTTTATCCTATACAGTATGTATTTTTTCTTCACTTTTAATTTTTTTAGATTAAAATATAAATGGGTCACTTTTAATTCATTGATAAATTGTGCTTTCTTTAATGCTTTATCTTGGTTTGTGGTAATTAGAAATAAAAAGACAGGTATAAAAAAAAAGTCATGTTCCTGTTAGATGAATTTACTGGGTAAATGGTGATGATTATGATCTACTTTAAAAAAAAATTTTTTTAAGCCATATTATGTTTATGTTTGGGTCTTTGCCTATATATAGTTATGGTGTGTTGGCTGTAGACACACATGCTTGTATACTGCCTTGTCCATTTGATAGAATTGGTATATATCTGCAATTAGTAAATAAAGATAAATCTTGTTAAATGTTTCTATACTTTGTTGAGAAATTAACAATATAGTCAACCACCATAGAAAAGATATGCAAAAAATATGAATAAGCAGTTCACCAAAGAAAAATAGAAAAATGGCCAATAAATATTGAAAATATGTTGTCTCACATCAAATAAATACCGTTTTTTGATGAGGTGCTATTCTGTTGCCTCTCAGATTGGGAACGATAAAGAATGATAATGTCTAGTAAGGGTGATTGCGGGGAAACAGGCAAAGCAAGTACAAATCCAAATTGGTATAATTCTTTTTTTTTAATTTAGTTTTATTTTATTATGTTATGTTAATCACATACATTACATCATTAGTTTTTGATGTAGTGTTCCATGATTCATTGTTTGTGTGTAACACCCAGTGCTCCATTCAATACGTGCCCTTTTTTTTTTTTTAATTTTAATATGTTATGTTAGTCACCATACAGTACATCATTGGTTTTTGATGTGGTGATCCACGATCCATTGTTTTCATATAACACCCAGTGCTCCATGCAGTACGTGCCCTCCTTAATACCCATCACTGGGCTAACCATTCCCCCTTCCCCCCTCCCCTCTAAAACCCTGTTTGTTTCTCAGGTCCATAGTCTCTCATGGTTCATTTCTCCCTCCAATTCCCCCCCCCCCCCAATTTTTCCCTTCCTTCTCCTAATGTCCTCCATGCTATTCCTTATGTTCCACAAGTAAGTGAAACCCTATGATAATTGACTTTCTCTGCTTGACTTATTTCACTTAGCATAATCTCCTCCAGGCCCATCATTGCGGAGGTAAAAGTTGGGTATTCATCCTTTCTAATGGCTGAGTAATATTCTATTGTATAAATGGACCACATCTTCTTTATCCATTCATCTGTTGAAGGGCATCTCGGCTCTTTCCACAGTTTGGCTATTGCGAACATTGCTGCTATGAACATTGGGGTGCATATGGCCCTTCTTTTCACTACATCGGTGTCTTTGGGGTAAATACCCAGTAGTGCAATTGCTGGGTCATAGGGTAGCTCTATTTTTAAATTTTTGAGGAACCTCCACACTGTTTTCCAAAGGACTGTACCAACTTCCATTCCCACCAACAGTGTAAGAGAGTTCCCCTTTCTCCACAACCTCTCCAACATTTGTTGTTTCTTTCCCTGTCCATTTTTTCCATTCTAACCGGTGTAAGGTGGTATCTCAATGTGGTTTTGATTTGGATTTCCCTGATGACTAATGATGATGAACATTTTTTCATGTGTCTGTTAGCCATTCGTATGTCTTCTTCAGAGAAGTGTCTGTTCATCTCTTCTGCCCACTTTTTGACTTGATTATTTGTTTTTTGGGTGTTGAGTTTGAGAAGTTCTTTATAGATCTTGGATACCAGCCCTTTATCTGTAGTGTCATTTGCAAATACTTCTCCCATTCTGTGGGTTGCCTCTTTGTTTTGCTGACTGTTTCCTTTGCTGTGCAGAAGCTTTTTATCTTGATGAAGTTCCAAAAGTTCATTTTTGCTTTTGTTTCACTAGCTTTTGGAGATGTATCTTGAAAGAAGTTGCTGTGGGCGAAGTCAAAGAGGTTACTGCCTATGTTCTCCTCTAGGATTTGGATGGATTCCTGTCTCCCATTGAGGTCTTTCATCCACTTTGAGTTTATCTTTGTGACTGGTGTTAGAGAATGGTTGAGTTTCATTCTTGTGCATGTGGCTGTCCAATTTTCCCAACACCATTTATTGAAGATACTGTCTTTTTTCCATTGCATGTTTTTTCCTGCTTTGTCAAAGATTATTTGACCATAGAGTTGAGGGTCCATATCTGGGTTCTCTATTCTGTTCCATTGGTCTATATGTCTGTTTTTGTGCCAGTACCATGCTGTCTTGGTGATCACAGCTTGGTAGTATAGCTTGAAATCAGGCAACGTGATGCCCCCAGCTTTGTTTTTCAACATTTCCTTGGCGATTCGGGGTCTTTTCTGATTCCATACAAATTTTAGGATTGTTTGTTCCAGCACTTTAAAACATGTCATTGGAATTTTGATCGGGATGGCATTGAAGGTATAGATTGCTCTGGGTAGCATAGACATTTTAACAATGTTTATTCTTCTGATCCCTGAGCATGGAATATTTTTCCATCTTTTTGTGTCTTCTTCAATTTCTTTCATGAGTGTTTTGTAGTTCCTAGAGTATAGATCCTTTACCTCTTTGGTTAGGTTTATTCCGAGGTATCTTACGGTTTTTGGTGCTATTGTAAATGGAATTGTTTCTCTAATTTCTCTTTCTACAGTTGCGTTGTTAGTGTATAAGAAAGCAACTGATTTCTGTGCATTGATTTTGTATCCTGCCACATTACCGAATTGCTGGATGAGTTCTAGTAATTTGGGGGTGGACTCTTTTGGGTTTTCCACATAAAGTATCATGTCGTCTGTGAAAAGAGAGAGTTTGACTTCTTCTTTGCCAATTTGAATACTTTTTATTTCTTTTTGTTGTCTGATTGCTGTTGCTAGGACTTCTAATACTATGTTGAACAATAGTCGCGAGAGTGGGCATCCTTGACGTGTTCCTGATCTTAAGGGAAAGGCTCTCAGCTTTTCCCCATTGAGGATGATATTCCCTGTGGGTTTTTCATAGATGGATTTTATGAACTTGAGGAATGTTCCTTCTATCCCTATATTCTGAAGAGTTTTAATCAGGAAAGGATGTTGTATTTTGTCCAGTGCTTTTCTGCATCAATTGAGAGGACCATATGGTTCTTCTCCCTCCTCTTATTAATGTGTTCTATCACATTGATTGATTTGTGAATGTTGAACCAACCTTGCATCCGGGGATAAATCCCACTTGGTCGTGGTGGATGATCCTTTTAATGTATTGTTGGATCCTGTTTGCTAGGATATGTTGAGGATTTTGTAATCCATATTCATAAGGGATATCGGTCTGAAATTCTCCTTTTTGATGGGGTCTTTGCCTGGTTTGGGGATTAAGGTAATGCTGGCCTCACAGAATGAGTTTGGAAGTTTTCCTTCTGTTTCTATTTTTTGAAACAGCTTCAGTAGAATAGGTATTATTTCTTCTTTGAATGTTTGGTAGAATTCCCCAGGGAATCCATCAGGCCCTGGACTCTTGTTTTTTGGGAGCTTTTTTGATCACTGCTTCAATCTCGTTACTGGTTATTGGCCTATTCAGGTTGTCAGTTTCTTCCTGTTTTAGTCTTGGCAGCTGATAGGTTTCCCGGAAGGCCTCCATTTCATCCAGATTGCTCAGTTTATTGGCATATAGTTGTTGATAATAATTTCTAATAATTGTTTCTATTTTCTTGGTGTTAGTCATGATTTCTCTCCTTTCGTTCATAATTTTATTAATTTGGGTCCTTTCTCTTTTCTTTTGGATAAGTCTGGCCAGTGGTTTATCGATCTTATTCTTTCAAAGAACCAGCTTCTAGGTTCGTTGATCTGATCTACTGTGTTTCTGGTTTCTAATTCATTGATTTCTGCTCTAATTTTAATTGTCTTCTAATGAGTGGCTTAGGCATCGTTTGTTGCTTTTTCTCTAGTTCTTTAAGGTGTAGAGTTAGTTGGTGAATTCGGGATTTTTCTATTTTTTTGAGTGAGGCTTGGATGGCTGTGTATTTCCCCCTTAGGACTGCCTTCGAGTATCCCATTGGTTTTGGACCAATGTGTTTTCGTTCTCATTGATTTCCATGAATTGTTTTAAGTTCTTTGATTTCCTGGTTGACCCAAACATTCTTGAGCAGAGTGGTCTTTAGCTTCCAAGTGTTTGAATTTCTGCCAAATATTTTCTTGTGATTGAGTTCCAGTTTTAGAGCATTGTGGTCTGAGAATATGCAGGGAATAATCTCAATCTTTTGGTATCGTTTGAGACCTGATTTGTGACCCAGTATGTGGTCTATTCTGGAGAAAGTTCCATGTGCACTCGAGAAGAATGAGTATTCTGCTGTTTTAGGATGGAATGTTCTGTAAATATCTGTGAGGTCCATCTGGTCCAATGTATCATTCAAAGCTCTTGTTTCCTTGTTGATTTTCTGCTTAGATGATCTGTCCATTGCCGAGAGTGGAGTATTGAGGTCTCCTACAATTAATGTATTGTTATCAATATGACTCTTTATTTTGGTTAACAGTTGGCTTATGTAGATGGCTGCTCCCATGTTGGGGGCATAGATATTTACAATTGTTAGATCTTCTTGTTGGATAGACCCTTTAAGAATGATAGAGTGTCCTTCTGTGTCTCTTATTATAGACTTTAGTTTAAAATCTAATTTGTCTGATAAAAGAATTGCTACCCCAGCTTTCTTTTGAGGTCCACTGGCATGGAAGATGGATCTCCATCCCTTCACTTTCAGTCTGGATGTATCTTTAGGTTCAAAATGAGTCTCTTGTAGGCAGCATATGGATGGGTCCTGTCTTTTTATCCAATCTGCAACCCTGTGCTGTTTTATGGGAGTGTTTATGCCATTCACGTTGAGAGTGATTATTGAAAGATATGAATTAATTGTCATCATGTTGCCTGTGAAGACGTTGTTTTTATAGATTGTCCCTGGAAATTTCTGTTGTAG